CTGTGTCCCCAAGGGCCAGAGACACTCGTGTACCCAAGCGAGCACAGTATCAATCCCCCACCACTATGGCCAGTGTCCCCAAGCTTCCTGTGTCCCCAAGGGCCAGAGACACACAGATGCCACAGCAAGCACAGCATCAACCTCCCACCACTGTGCTCAGTGTCCCCAGGCTCCCCATGGCCCCAGGGGCCAGAGACACCCAGGTCCCCAAGCCCAGAGCAGCAACAGGGAAGCAGCCTCCTCTGTGGCAATGGAGCCACTCCAGCTCTGGCCCCTCAGCATCGCCACAGCCCCAGAGTCGCTCTGCTGGGAGCCAGGGGCTGTCATGGCTCCGTCACCCACACAGGCAGCCCCAGGCCACTCAGCCCCTGATCAGGGTCTGTCCCCTGGATAGAGTGCCTGTGCCACTGCCCTGGGGAGCACCCAGCAACCCCTGGCTAGCCATGGGCTGTGTCCCCTCCTTCCCTCCTGCCAGGCCACTGCACCTACATCTGCCTGCAAAGATCCTTGTGACGCCCGGCCCAGAGCAGAAGCACATGGCAGTTCCTGATGGGACACAGAACACCTGGGATACCGAGACATTCCCAGGAGGGGACAGCACCCTGCCCATCTTTGCTGGGCCAGCATGGCAGCACTCAGCTCCTTCCCACCATGGTGCACCCCCACTGCTGTGTCATGGTCCCCACTTCATCCCTCATACGCACTTTAAAATACTTCTGTAATAAGGAGCCTGGCTTGGTCCTTCTGTGTGTGGGAGTTGTGGGCAGGGCCAGGGCTGCCCCCAGGATTGGGCTGCAGGCAGGAACTGGGGCTGCTGGGGCACAGAGCAGGCAGGAAAAGCTGCCTCCCCTCCTGCCTGCCTGTGGTCGCCCCTGCCAGACACAGGAGGGGCAGACACTGCCAGACACCACCTGTCGTGGTGGTGATGCCCCTGTGCCCTGGCACTGGGAACCAGGGTGGGTACAGAGGGGTGGCAGGGCTGGTGCCCCTGGTAATGCCAGGAGCGCAGTGGAGAGAAACACATCCTGTGTGTGGCAAGAAAAGAACTGGGCTTTGAGCCACTCCAGCTGCAGGTGGGGATTTTAATGGGCTGGCAAAGAGCTGTGGGGTGGGGATCCCCTTGAGGCACTAGGGCACTCGGGCAGCCCCAGGCATCGCAGGGTCCGCAGGAAGTGGGGTGGTGGGGGTGCACAGAGGGGGCCCTCAGGCAGCACAAGCTCCTGAAGGTGGATGTGGAGTGGGAGGTGACGGAGCTGCTGCGGCGAAAGTCCCAGCTGGGACAGCAACTCCTCATCCAGCACCTGCAATGTGGGTGAGTAGGTCAGTGGGATCCCTGGGGGCTGTTCTGAACCCCCCAACCAGCATCCACCCTGGCCACGTACCTGTGTGCGGGTTGGGGCGGCCTCGGGGGTCAGCAGGAAGGGCACCCTCAGGACACTGCCCACGCGGGAGGAGTGCTCGTGGTCACCCAGCGCTGGGCACAGCAGCAGCGTCAGGTGTACCTGGAGCTGTTCTGGGAAGGCTGGGGAGGCACAGGGGGAAGGTGGGATTGTGGTGGTGGGGAAGCATGGCAGCACGGGGTGTTGAGAGGCCACTCACTTGTCTTGGGCTGGAGCTGCAGGAGGGCACAGCCACCCCTGGCACCAAGGACCCGGTAGCGTGTCAGGGTGTTCTTCACCTCCTTCCTGGCCAGGCTGTGGCGTCCCGGGGCTGGCACTGGCACCACCTGTGAAGCACAGCCCTCAGCACTCCTCAGGGCACCTTGCGCACCCCCAGCACCCCGGCACTCCCTTACCATGGCAGTGTCACCCTGCTGCTGCCAACACAGCCCAGTGCGGATCTCGCCCTCTGCCTCTGCTGGGACTCCCACGGTGACAGCGCTGCAAGGGAGAGATGGTGATGAGGGGACAGGACCCCCATGCCAGCACAGTAGGGGCCCAGGGACTTACCAGTATGTGGCAGGGTATTGTCCTCTCTGGCGGGCTCTGGTGAAGAACTGCTGGAGCTTCTTAGTGGTATGGTAGCAGCTGGACAGGAGGACGAGGCCAGAGCACTGCCTATGGGACACAGCAGCTCTGAGCCCCAGAGGGGGAAAGGCCCTGCTGGCTCTGCCCCAGGGCCTCCAACCTGGAACCTCCAACCATACCTGGCGGGAGCCTTCACCACGTGGAACTCAGCAGGGAGGCCCAGCCGTCGTCTCAGCACTGGCAGCAGTGCATCCAGGCTCAGCTCCCCAGGCTGTCCTGGGGAGAGGTTGGGAGATCAGCACCTGCTGAGCTCCCAAGGTAGGTACCCCCAGTAGACTCCCCCTTCCTGCCCCATACTCACCCAGGACAGGCAGGCCCGTGGGCTTGTTCAGTGCCAGCAGGGCTCCTGGCAAGGGGAAGCCTGGTCAGGATGTGCTCCCACACTGTCTCCCTTGCCCCCATCTCCCTCTCCCCCAGTACCTTCCTGGTGCACCACGGAGCCCTCCAGCAGCCCCAGTGTCTTCTCGGGATCCAGTGGCCGCCTCCGCCTGCAGGAGATGGAGTGATGGGGGGACACGGGCAGGACTCCTTCAGCTACCTACCCTGACCTTCTCCTGTGTGTCCATAAATCACTCCCCTACTGACTGCCCTGCCTTGCCAGGTGTGCCCCTGCACCCACATCTGTATGCCCTTGCCCATCCCTGCACCCTCACACTTCCCCAGCCCATGTTCACACATCTGCAACCCCACGTGTCCCCACGCCCACCCCATAGCCCCTCTGCACTCACACGATGTGCCCACAGTCCGCGTGCACCCGTGTCACACATCCACTTGTCTCACATGCACCACACAGTATACACACACGCCCCCCCGTGTCACACATCCCCTGTACACATGTACCCCGTGTACACGTGTCACATCCCCCGTGCACACACACACCGTGTGGCACGCCCACCTCGTGTCACACACCCCCTGTGTCACACCCCAGGTCACACAGACCCCGTGTCACACACGCCGTGCCCCACGCACCCCGTGTCACATCCCCCCGTCACACTCCCCCCGTGTCATCCCCCCCCGCCCCGCTGACCCCGCGGCGCGCGCCCCCGTTCCCGCTCGCGCCAGCCCTCGCGCGGCGGCGGCCGCGGCTCCCCCGGCACCCGCCATGGCGGCCCCGCCGCGCCTGCGCCGAGCGACCGCCCCGGCATCCGGAGAGCCCGCGGCCGCGGCCATAGAGCGGCGGAAGCGCGGGCAGAGCGTCCCGCCCGCAGGTGCGGCACGGAGGGGAGCGGCGGCACCCGCCGGGGGGGGCTCCGGACGGGCGGTCACGGGGAGGGGGCCCCGGGGCTGTCACTGCAGGAGGGAGGCCCGGGGCGGGGTTCGCTGGGGGCATGGGGCCAGGGCTGCGCTGGGGAGGGGGGCAGGGAGAGCGGCCCCGCCTGACGCTGTGCCTCCCCAGGACAGCGCCATGGCCTCCCGCGGGGGTCCCCGCGCCCCCGGCACTGACGGCAGCGACTTCCAGCACCGGGAGCGCGTGGCCTCGCACTACCAGATGAGGTAGGTGTCCCTTCCCCCGGGACTCCCGGGAGGGACACGCGGCCCCCAGCGGGCTCTGACGGCCCCGCGCTCTCTCCCCAGCGTGACCCTCAAGTCGGAGATCAAGAAGCTGATCTACACGCACGTGGTCATCTGGCTGCTGCTGCTGGCCCAGATGTGCGTGGGGCACCTCAAGTTGCTGCCCCACGACCAGGTGGCCATGCCCTACCAGTGGGAGTACCCCTACCTGCTCAGCATCCTGCCCTCCCTCCTTGGCCTGCTCTCCTTCCCCCGCAACAACATCAGCTACCTGGTGCTCTCCATGATCAGCACTGGCCTCTTCTCCGTGGCTCCCCTCATCTATGGGGCCATGGAGATGTTCCCCATGGCGCAGCAGCTCTACCGCCACGGTAAAGCTTACCGCTTCATCTTCGGCTTCTCGGCCGTCTCCGTCATGTACCTAGTGGTGGTGGTGGCCGCGCAGGTGCATGGCTGGCAGCTCTACTACAGCAAGAAGCTACTGGACTCTTGGTTCACTAGCACGCAGGAGAAGAAGAAGAAATGAGTGGGAATGGGTGGGCTCCATGAGGTGCTGAAGCTCTGCAGCTCAGTCCTGTGGGGCAGCGCTGGCGCAGCTCCGGTGGGTGGGGGGCCCCCGGGGACCAAGCTATGGGTGTCTGACCCATGCCACTACCCCGGGCTCGCATGTAACTTGGGGGGGAAGAATCCCCGAGGGCTGGGGCCGTGGAGGGTTCCCTGGGGTACGTTCCCCTTCTTCTTCGTGTTGTTCTATGGAAATAAAGCACCGTCCGTGCTCCCACGCGTGTCTGCGCCGCAGGAAGCGCCGCCCGGCAGCGGGGGGCGGGCGGCGGGGCCGCACGTGCCGGTGCAGGAATGCGGTGGGGCCGGCCCGGGGCGGGGCGGGGAGCGGCGGCGCTCGGCCATGGGGCGCCCGGTGCTGCTCGTCGCCGCGCTGCTGCTGCTGCTGCCCGGCACGGGAGCCGCCGTCACCCGCCTGAGAGTCTCCGCCAACTTCGTGAGCACCGGGGAAAGGGAGGGAGGTGGCCGAGGAAGGTGGGTGGGGGGCTGGCGGCACCGCGCTCACCCCCGTGTCTTTGCTTGCAGGAGTGCCGGGCCACCGGTGAGTAGCTGCGGGGCGGGGCTGCCCCTGCCCGGGGACATCGGCTCCTCCGGGGTGAGGCGGGACGGCGGGGCTTCCCCCGCTCGCCGCCACCGAGTCCTGGAGGATAGGGGGGCTCCCGGTCTCCGGGGCATGGGGCTCCCCGCTTCCGAGGAGTCCCGATCCCCGGGGCTTCCAGGCTCCCTGGGCTCCCCGCTTCCGAGGACTCTGGATCCCCGGGGCTCCACGCTTTCGAGGACTCCGGGTTCCCGGGGCTCCCTGTTTCTGAAGACTCACGCTCCCCGGAGTTCCCCGGCCGCTGGGGCTCCCCGCTTCCGAGGACTCCGGATGCCAGGGGCTCCCCATTTGCGAGAACTCCAAATCACCTGGGCTCCTCCCTTCCGAGTACTCCTCCCCAGGGCTCCCCTTCCCGGGGCTCTCCTCTTCCGAGGGCTCCCGGTCCCCGGGGCTCCCAGTGCCTGCGGGATCCCCGGCTCACGGCCGCTCCCCCTCTGCTCCCCCTCTGCTCTTCCTCCGCAGCCGACAGGACGTTGAGCCGCCCCCGCTGCCGCCGCCCGTCCCGCCCCGTGCCGCCGCTGGAGCCGCCCGCCCTGTCGCTGAGCCGTGCCCGGCTGTGCCTGCCCGCGCAGCCCTGCCAGCCCTGCCTGCGGGTGCGCCTGGCCCTTCCCGCCGCAGGTACGAGCGGGGTTGGCGGGGCCGGGCATCCCCACGGTGGGGGACACTCACCCCGTTCTCCCACCTGTGTCAGCACCCCACGCCGGTTTCTCGCAGAGCTCGGCGGTGTCCGTGGGCTGCAGCTCACCTTCTTGGAGCTGAGCTCCAACCGGGCAGGCTGGCTGCAGGTCTGGAAGCGGCGCAGGGTGCTGGACAGCTCGACGGTGAGTCTGGAGTGGGTGTTGGGGCTGGGGGACACCGGAGCTGGCGGTGCCCATTGACCCCCTGCTCCCCGCAGTGGCAGGTGCAGTTCGACTGCTTCCCGGCTGAGAGCGGGCAGCAGGTCCTCGTCTCCCTCCGCACCATCCCGGACCGGGGCTTGTCTCTCAGCCGCAGCTGCCTGGTCACCGCTGAGCCACACGGTGAGAATGGAGGGGCCCTGGGGGGTGTCTTGGGGGATGCTGGTGCTGGCTGACTCCCTGCCTGCTCCACAGAGCCTGTCTTCACCCATGCATGGGTCCCTGAGGCACGGGCCATTGACGTGTGGGTGCCTGAGGGTCCTGCCCTCATGGTGCGGCTGTGCCATCAGCTGGCCCTGGAGTGTGAGGAGCTTCCCCCACCCTTCCATCGGCAGGTAACAGCTCTGCCCCCCCCAGCGCCCCCATATCAGACTGAAGGGCACACGCCCCACCAGCTGATTCTCCCTTCTTGCTGCAGGTGCTGGTGCCAGGTGGCCACCGCATTTCGCTGCTGTATGAGTTCCTGGTGCCCTGCCTGTGCATTGAGGTGGGTTGCCCTCTCCGTGCAGCCACTGGAGCCCCTGTCTGCCCTCGCAGGAGAAGTGGGGGCATATCCTGCCCCCCACTCATTACTCTGCTCCCACAGGCCTCCTACCCTCACCACGACAGCCCGCGGAGTAAGCGCTGCCCCTTCCGTGATCAGCCGGATGCCTGTGAGTGTCTGTGGGGAGGGGAGCTGGGTCCCAAGGGTGTCCCCCAGTGTCCCCAGCCCACTGATGCAGTGTCCCACAGATGGCCCTGAGCTGTGGTCCTCGGTGCGCTTCCACGACTACAGTGCCAGCAGCAAGGACCAGATGGCAATGGCGCTGAGTGCCAGCTGCCCCCTGCACCCACGGGCCACGCTGTGCTGGAGGGAGGCGGCGGATGAAGCTGCACCCTGCCACAGCATCCCCAACTCCACAGCCAGCGAGGAGGAGCAGGTGAGGGGTCCTGATCCTGAGGTATCATGGGATGTAGGACCATGCCCCTGGCTGGGGCACCCACTGGACTCAAGGGTCCCCTGAGGGCAGCGAGTGAGCACTTGGGGTGTCAGCGGACTGTTTGGATTAGGGATGGTGACAGTGATATACTCTTTGTACATTCCAGGTTTACACACTGGACAAGGTGGATGTGCACCCCCAGCTCTGCTTCCGAGTAAGCCCCCATGGGTGGTGGGCACCACCTGGGAAGGGGTTGGGGGGCCGTGGTGGGCAATGGCAGCTCACCCAGCCCTTCTGCTGATCCCTCAGTTCTCCTATGGGAACAGCAGCCATGTGGAGTGTCCCCACCGGCCAGGTGAGCCCCACATGCAGGAGGCAGCCCTGGGCTGAGCACAGCCCTCACTGGGGTCCCTTGCACCCCTCATCCAATTGGGCATTCTGCAACCTCCTCTCTCTCTCCGGTGGCTGCAGAGACTGCCTGGAACGTCTCAGTGAGTGTCTGGGGGCTGCAGCTGCGCCTGCATCTCAGCTCCCGCATCCCTGCGGCCTTCAGCGCAGCCCTGTGCCAGCGCCGGGGTGGGCAGTGCGAGCCTGAGGCCCCCCTCTACACTGTCACGCAGGTGAGTGGTGCAGGGCTGGGGGGGACATGGTGGTGACAGACCTGCACTGACCCTGCATTTATGCTTTGCAGCCAGAGGGCTCTGCCCCAGGGGAGCTGGCGCTGCTACTGCCAGTGCAGGTCCTGGGCAGCTGTGTGCTGGTAAGGTGACCTCTGTGCTTGCACCTGCTCCATGGGGGGGATCCCAACACAGCCCCCCCCTCACCCAGCCCCTTCCCTAGGTGTGGCGCTCGGACGTGCACTTTGCTCGGAAGCAGCTGCTTTGTCCTGACGGTGAGAGGATGTCCTGTGGGGGACACAGGGGGCAGCAGGGTTGGACAGACACCCCCCTTACTGCCTCTCTCCCAGTCTCCCGCAGGCACTTTGGGCTGCTGGGGCTGGCACTAGCGCTGGGACTGGTCGTGACCGTGCTGCTCCTCAACTGCCGCGGTGCCTGGAGGCCAGACAATGGTGAGGGGCACCTTGGGGGGCTGCAGGATGGGGCCACCAGCCACGATGGTCATGGGGCTGGAGTGTGAGGGCTCCTGGGTTGCAGAGGGTCTTGGAGCAGTGGATGGTGGTGGATGGCAGGGTTTTCCCCACAGGAGATCAGTGGGACACGGGGCTGGGCTGTCACCACTCTCCCCTCCATTCTGCAGGTGTCTCAAGCGGGCGCCCTGTGCTGCTGCTGTACTCGCCGGACTCAGAGGAGCACCTGGGGCTGGTGTGCACTCTGGCCGAGCGGCTGCGCACGGGGCTGGGCTGCGATGTGCACCTGGACCTGTGGGAAGCAGGTGGCTTGGGGCAGTCGGGCACCCTGCCCTGGCTCTATGCCCAGCGAGGCCATGTGGGCCGCCAGCGTGGCACTGTCCTACTCCTCTGGAGCCGGGGCAGTTCCCGTCTCTTTCGTCGGTGGCAAGTCGGGGTAGCCAGTGGTATGCCTGGGGATGCCCACGACATCTTTGGGGCAGCCATGGCCTGCCTGCACGGGGAGCTGGGGGCAGCGGGCTGTGGCGGTGGGTGGATCCTGGCCTATTTCAGCCGGCTCTGTAGCCCCCGTGACGTGCCCCGGCCCCTCCGGCCCCTGCCCACCTACCGCCTGCCCCGGCAGCTGCCTGGTCTGCTGGGTGCCCTGCGGGGCAGCCCCCCAGCCCCTCGCCGCTGCCACCGGGGCAGGGCTGGGGGACTCCTGCGTCGGCTGATAGAGGCAGGGGCTGATGAGGGCAGGCGCCCACCTCAGCAACCTGGGGCAGCTGCTGGCACCTGAATGCCTGAGCTGGGCATGGCTGTGGGGTGAGCAGGGCTGGGCACAGCCCTGGTGAGGGCAGGGGCTCTGCTATGGAGGGGCAGAGCTCAGGTGAGCATGTCCACTGTGGTGCAGGAGGGGTGCCCGTGGGTGCCTCAGCCAGGGGCTGCAGGGGTCCAAGCAGGATTGGTCTCAGTGGTGCAATGGGCTGCAGCAGCCGGAGCGAGCATCCAGTTGGTCACCTGGGGCTAGGAGCAGAGATGCTGTCCTGGGCAGGGACAGCTTTATTCCTACAGAAGGACCTGCTCCAGAGGAGAGCCTATAGAAGCCCCTTTGGACAACACAGCTGAGCAAGGGATCAAGGTGGTACTAGAAGAAGCCAAGAGGGGGGGGGGCTCCCTGCCCAGGCACAGGGGGCTGGAGAGGCAGGCGCTGGGCACAGGCTGGCCCTTCTCCTTGCTCCGACATTGCCAGCAGGACTTGGTTTGCAGAGGAAGCAATAAAGGCATCAATTCACCCTGCCCTGCTGTCCATTTGGTGTGCCGGGGGAACTTTTTTGGTGCCCCTGGGGGGTGGGGGCTTCCCCGTACACCTCTGCAGCACGGGCCAGGGGCAAGAGAACGCACCCGGCTGGGCACAGCCTGTCCCGGCACGGCCGGGACACTGCATCCCACAGTCGCTGGGGCTGCCTGGTTCCAGCCCGGGCACCGTGCCCATGCCATGGGGCCAACCTCATCCCTGCGGGGCCCCAAGCCCTCCCGGGGGTGCCGGGGCACGGATCCCTCCGTGGTCGGTGCGGGAACAGGAGGCCCCACCCCAGGGCGGTTGCTGACGCCACGCAGGGACCCGGGTGTCCGGGATCAGAGCAGGAAGCGGGAGCCGGCGCCGGCGGCGGGGCCCGTGGAGCCGGGAGAGAGGCTGTTTGGGAGCAGACGGTGTGGGGCCGGGGCGCCCCACGGCCCCGGCCCCGCCATGCCCACGCTGGGGCAGCTCCTGCTCGTGCTGGTGGTGACAGCGGCGGGTGGGCGTGGGGCCCCCCGCGACAGCCTGGCCTGCTCCCAGGTGGGTCGGTGTCACCAGCACGGGGGGCACTGGGCAGCCAGCACCACCACCGGCCTCACCCCCGCCTCCCCCAGGGCCTCGCCTGCCGCCTCTTGGGTAAGTGCCACCACCACGCCATGGCCCCCAGCTCACCCAGGGCGTGGGGACCCACCCCTACACTGCCCTCTCTGCCCCCCCAGACACCGACGTGCTGTGTGGGACGGAGCCGCTGGGGCCTGGCCATGGGCTGGCCCTGGCTCGTCTGCGTCTGGAGCCGGCACTGCACTGCAGTGAGCCCACGGCCTGTGTGCCCTGTCTGGAGGCACGTGTGCGCCTGGCCTTGGCACCTGCCACCAGAACCACCACTGCCACCGAAACCCCCCGCTCCGTGGTGCCAGGGATCCCTGGGGCAGAGGATGGCAGTGGTGGGGGACAGTGGTCACCAGCGGCTGGGGCCACTTTGTCCCAGCCCAATGTCACTGTGCTGCTGCTGCTCTCCGGGCACACGTTCGCCTCCTCCCGCTGTGTGGCCGTGGAGGTCCAGGCACCCCTGGCCCCCACACAGCACAACCGAACCCTGGTACGTAGGTGTGGGGACTGGCAATGAGTGTCCCAACACTGTCAGTCCCTGGGCACTGAGGATGTGGGTGCTGGCATTGGTGCATCTCCACGGCATGGGGGTCCCGTGCCCCAGCGAGGTGGGGCTGGTGGTGCTGGTGCCTCACCGCAGTGGGGTGGTGGTTTTCCTGCCCAGGGCTGGGTGATCTTCCGGTGCTTCGAGGCGCCGCTGGGCTCCGAGCTCCACGTCACGGCATACACGAACTCACGTGGACGGCGTAGTCTGAGCCGGCTGAAGAGGGTGCCAGGTGAGCCCCGGTGTGCCACCTGCGATGTTCCCATCCCCCTGCCCACTGACTCCCTGTCCCCACAGACTGCTCATGGCCCCTGGCACAGGCTGCTGTCCCCCAGTGCCAAGGTAGGTGCTGCTGTCACCCCACCTTGGTTTGCATCCCCTGGGGAGAGCGAGGTGATGGATGCTGGGGGCAAGAGTGACTCTGTGGGTGCCGTGCCCTGCGCTGTGGGACTGGACGGGCAGTGCTAGCAGGTGGGTGACCTGAGCCGGCTCTGGTGCAGTGCCCAGGCTGCGGGTCTCCCGAGGGCAGAAGGAAGTGGTTGTGGAGGTGCAGGGGGCTGTGGCAGGGCACAGCTACGCACTCCGACTCTACCACAACCAGAGCCACAGCACTGGTGGTCCGGGGCGCGTGGTGACCATGGTGAGTATGACTCCCTTCCCTGACCCCCCACCTTCGCTGGTCCCTGGCTGCTGCCCACCTCCCTGTTCCCGAGAAGCCATGTCTGTGTTGCAGGCAGTGTGTTGGGAGAGGGTCCCCTGGGAGCAGGTCCCCCTGGGTGACCCTGATGGGGGGCAGTTTGCCATTGGGTGACCCACGTCTGATTGCTGGTAGCAGAGCAGACCCATGAACTACAGCCTGCCTGCCAATGAGGTGCTGCCCTGCCTCTGCCTGCAGGTGGGCACCCATTTGGGGCACCGTGGGGGTGGCAGGGTGCCACCAAAAAAGAGGCTTTCCAGGCCCCATGTATCCCAAGGGATCCAGCTGGGTCATGGTCACAACATGGACATCCCAAATCCTCCCTTTTCTTGTCTCTCTCCTTGCTCCTAGGTCTGGCTGGAGACCCAGGACCCACTGAGGGCCACCCTGTGCCCCTTCTCCCATGGTAGCTGCACCATGGGGCTGGGGTGTGGGATTGCTGGGACACACAGGGACCTGAGGGGGCACTACATGGGGTGACACCCTTCTCCTGGTGCCACCACAGATGCCAAGGCGTGGGAGCAATTGTGGATGCAGAGCCAGCTGGTCCTGCACACTGAGGGGCAGGTGCTGACCTGCTCCCTCTCAGCCCCCTGCGATCTCCCAGCCAAGCTGGTGCCCTGCTGGCAGCTGGTGCCCTCGGGGCCCTGCCAACCCCTCCCTGGCCTGCAGCAGCCCACTGTGGGGCAGGTGAGTGTGGCTCTGTGGGGTGCTGGGGGCTTGTGAAGGGTGCAGGTGGCATTCATGGAGCATCCCTTCCACTCACAGGGACCCCAGGAGTTCGGAAGGCTGAGGCCACACCCCAACCTCTGCGTGCAGGTAGGACACTCTCGTGCCCTACAGCTGCCCCATGGGCAGCCCCGCAGGCAACCCCAGGCACTGCTGACTCGTTCTCTGGGGCAGGTGTGGAGTGGTGGGCAGGTCCGGCTGATCCAGTGCCTGCAGGATCGTGAGTACTGCTGGGGTGGGAAGGCAGGGGCAGCCTGTGGGTCCAGCTGTGGAGAAGCCCTCCCCGGCCTCCCCTCGCTGCCCTCTCAGCCCTCTGGCACATCCCCAGGAGCGCTGCCTGGTCACCCCAATGACCTCCTGCTGCTGGAGCGTGGAGGGAATGCCTCGCTGTGTGCTGTGGAGCGGGATACCTGCACGCCCCTCACCAGCTTCACCAGCGCAGTAAGGGGCAGGGACACCCGTGTCCTGGCAGTGGTGGCACTGGTGGCACAGGGCCTCCTGTGTCTGGCAGTGGTGGCACAGCTGTCTAACCCCTGTGCTGTTGCAGGGAAGGGGGCACCCTGGGCTGCTGGAGCAGGATCTGCAGCGGGATGTGGCAACGGGGCAGTGCTGGCAGGTCAGTGTTGGCAGCCAGCGGGCAGTGGGCAGGGATCAGGCAGCATCTGATGTGTCCCTGTGTCCCCCCAGATCTGGCACCCTGAAAACAGCACCGGGGTCATGCTCTGGGCCTGTCCCATGCACAAGTGTGAGTGTCAATGGCCATGGTGTGGGAGAGGGGGTAAAGTGGGAAGTTGAGGGAGTGCACCCACCCATGTAGCCACTAGAGACCCTTCCCGGGTGCCAGGGGCCCTTTGTGGATGCAGATCCTGCCCCACAGACCTGCGTACCCGCTGGGCCCTGGTGTGGATGGGGGTGCTGCTGGCAGCAGCCTGTCTCCTACTTCTGCTTGTGCTGAAGAAGGAGGACATGAAAGGTGAGTGGTGCACCCCTGGGGGCTGTGCTTGGCCTGGGACCCCTCCCAGGATCCCACCTCACTGCCTCTCCTCACAGGATGGCTGAAGTCACTGAGGGCTGGCTATGGCTCTGAGGGTGAGTACGGGGTAAACCTGTGATCTGGAGGATGTGGGCAGGAATGTTTATGCCTTCCCCACAGGGGTCAGGGGGCACAGAAGAGGGGGGGAGGGGGGAGGTGTCCCTACCAGAACAGGTCCAGACTTGCCTGCCCCACAGGATAGGCGGGAGTGTAGGGGAACAGAGAAGAGGGTGGCAATCTTATCGATGGGAGGGCAGGTTGTGTCTCCTATGACCTGTCTCCTAAGGTGGCTGGTACCTTTGGGTGGGTAAGGGGATTTGGGAAGGGGACTGGGGAACTGAGCAGGGGATGGCTCCCACATTGGTAGTGGTCTTAGCTGCTTCCTATCGTCGCTGTTCCTTAGCTTGGGTGTGGGAGGTTGGGGAACAGTGGCATAGAATGCTCTCCTCCCATCACGGGTGCTCCCAGCATGCCTCCCGCTACAGGATGGGTACAGGGTGCCTAGAGGGATCCAGACACTGATGATCCCTCCTCAGGTCCCCTGCAAGGCCGGCGGGCACTGCTGGTCCATGCGGCAGAGCCGGTGGCGGAGCGGGCGGCGTGTGCCTTGATGGCAGCTCTGCACCCACTGGGGCTGCTGGTGGTGGCAGCACCAGGGGGTGGCAGCGGGGTAGCAGCGTGGGGGCCACTGCCCTGGCTGCATGCCCAGCACCACCGGGCACTGCGTGATGGTGACACCATCGTCTTCCTCCTCTCTCCGGCTGCAGTGGCTGCTGCACACCAGTGGGACACAGGGTCCAGGGTTGTGCCAGGGACTGGGGCTGCTGAAAGCAGCCTCAGCCCCCAGCACAGCCCTGGCCCTGCTGATGTCCCGGCCGTGGCACCCT